AAGGTATATGTTGAAAAAGTGAAGCAAACTATAGAAAGGGTTAGGGGTCAATATTTACAAAACAGTTTGCTGAGTTTTTGGATAGATTTGAAATGTTATATTTTAAATGCAAATAATTGTATTTTTTCAAAGAAAGAACTTCCAATTTCTCAAAGACTTGGGATTATCTCCTGTATACCCAAAGGTGATAAACCAAGACAGTTTTTAAAAAATTGGCGTCCAATTACTTTATTAAATGTCTTGTATAAACTTATATCTGGATGTTTAAGTTGTAGAATAAAGTCTACTCTAGGATTTCTGATTTCTGATGCACAAACAGGTTTCATTAAAGGTAGATATATAGGGGGAAATACCAGATTTATTTATGACTTAATGTCTTACACAGAGTTAAATAATATTCCTGGTCTGTTGATGCTAATTGATTTTGAGAAAGCATTTGACTCAATTTCATGGCCCTTTCTGTATAAAGTTTTAAAGTATTTTGGTTTTGGAAAGAACATTATCGACTGGATTAAGATCCTAAATACAAATTTTAAAGTTTCAGTTTTACAATGTGGATTTTTATCTGAACAATTTTCTATTCAAAGAGGTTGTAGGCAAGGAGATCCTGTTGCTCCCTATTTGTTTCTCCTTTGTGCTGAAATTTTGTCTATTCTCATAAAACAAAACAGAGATATAAAAGGTATAATAGTAAATGAAAAAGAACACAAAATCTCTCAATATGCAGATGATACCTCGCTTGCCCTTGATGGTTCACCAAAATCTTTGTTTGCTGCTCTTGATACATTGGATTTATTTTCACAAATATCCGGTTTAAAGATAAACAGTTCAAAGACAAAAATTATTTGGATTGGCTCGAAAAAATTTTCAAGTCAAGTTTATCATCATTCAAGATGGAAACTAGATTGGGGATCCACAACTTTTAATTTGCTTGGTATAACTTTTTCTGTAGAGCTAGAAAATATTATTGACATAAATTATAAACTTATTTTACCAAAAATTAAATCAATGATACAACAATGGAAAAGACGAATACTTACACCTATTGGTCGCGTCACCGTTGTAAAAACGCTCATTTTACCAAAACTTACTCATTTATTTATTTCCCTTCCTACCCCTAGCTATGATAAAATATCTTCATTGTGTAAAGACCTTATTGAATTCATATGGAAATCAAAAATTGATAGAGTTAAAAGAGATATAGTCACTCAAGATTATTTATCTGGAGGATTAAAGATGTTAAATGTTGATTACTTCATAAAATCATTGAAATGTACATGGGTCAAAAGATTGGTAACAGAAAGTAATAAGCCATGGCTAGACATATTTTTTGGAATTAATGGTAATGATGCTGTAAACAAATTTATGGATTTTGGTGATGCTTTTATTTTAAATAGTTTAATACCTCAAAACAATATTTTCTGGTTTGATGTTTTTACTTCATGGCTACATGTTCTGAAGAATGTAGATCAGGATGTTCATATTGAATACAAGGCTTGTAATATTCCTATATGGTATAATTCAAATATTAAGGTAGATAATAAGAGTATTTTTATAGAAAATTGGTATAAAAGTGGAGTTAAAAATATTGGAGATTTTTTGTCAGAAGATTGTTCATTTTTATCAAAATCTGCCTTCCAAGAAAAATTCAGTATTTCCAATGTAAGCTTAATGCAGTATAATAGCACAGTTTCTGCCATTTTTATATTTTTAAAGAATATGTCAATAGATGGACTGAGTTTGAAAAAACATTTTCAACCTAATTTACCTTTTTATTTTGAAAATATTTTTCACTATGAAAAATGTACAAAGAAAATTTACAATTATATAAACAAAAATGATATAATTCCTACAGCAATTCCAAAGTGGAATCAAGACTTATCTCCCTATGGAGTGGCAGATATTTGTATTAAAGCTGTTTTTAAGGTTTGTTTTAAGACTACCTCCGATTCTTCTGTACAGTGGCTACAATATAGAATTCTACATAGGATCCTCCCTGTATATTCTTATCTTAAGAAAATCAATATAAAATCTACTGACATTTGTAAGTTCTGTGCTCAGGAAACTGAAACTTTACTGCATGTATTTGTCAGTTGTGATCATATTGTATCTTTATGGAGGAACTTCAGTTTACATATATACAGAACAATTTCAAAAAGAGTTGGATTCAATGTCAGAAATATTATCCTAGGTGAATTACCACTTACTAAGGACAACAGAATTGGAAACTTTATGATACTATATACAAAACAATATATTTTTTCATGTTTACTACAACCAAAAATACCTTCATTTGCTGGTTTACTGAATTATTTGAAAATGAAACACAATATTGAAAGATGTACGAGGGCTGTTCGGAAATTATTGAGACATTTACTTTTACTCCACAGAGGACAGAGAAAAATTCATGAAAATTCGTCAACATTTTATAAAGAACAAATGAAACAAATGTGCAAAATTTCTAATTTATAGGATAATTAAATAAGGTTTGGTGAAGTTATAAACATGCATATGTCTATTGACCTGGAGCAGCATCGCTACGTCATTTTAACGTCACGTCAGCCGGAGATGTTTTCTCATGTGAAACGACCGGGAAGCGTTTATCCTTTCCTTCTATGTTATCACATATAACATTCCAAAAATCAAACTGTCTCTTTCTTAAACGATTCTTTATAAACATAAAATAAAACGTGTGCTGTTGATATCCCAGTGTAAAATATAAATGAAGTGTCATATACAGGTTGACTTAGCCTCACGCAGTACCGATTTATGCAACGCGGGTCAACGTTATTTAGTCCGTAATAATTGCTGGTCGTACGGAGCTTTTGTTTTTACTCTGGTTGAATTATTTGTAAGAAAAAAATATATACCAATGAAAAAACAAACCTTTTGACATGTTTTATGGCATTGTTATTGTTTTAGCAGGTCGTTTAGTCTGGACAAGTGTTCTCCATAGCTCGACACAAAATTTTAGGTAGCTTGCTGCGCCGCCTTGACGTCAAAATCCAGTTTGTCGTCGTTGTCAGATTTCTATACCGTGCTGAAATTTTTTAATGGTCTCCGTATTTCTAATCGAAATTCTAACAAATTTGCACAAAATGAAGACAAAATTAAATTGAAAAATTATATACATAATTTGAATTATTTTCGCTCTTACTATGGGTCCACCGGGAGTTTTAACGTTGGTGTTACATATTTTCATTAACTGATTTCGTGACTGCGCCGGGTACCCCTGCCAGTGACACATTAATATACCATTAAAAAGAAGAAATAAAATATTTGTAATATATTTCTTGCTTTTATTAATTCTAAGTGTCTGTCAAACATATATGCAAATTTTTACCGAAAGACGTTCATTAGAAAGAAGAATATCCACAATGTCTCAATAATTTCCGAACAGCCCTCGTATGTCTATTAGTAACTCAAAACTGTTTTATTTTGAAGAACAATGGATTTTGTGGAAAAATATTTTGAACAAATGTAAGATAATGTGACAAGTTTTTGATATTTAGTTTATGATAGAAACAATTGTTGATAAGCTGATTACTATGAAGCAACCTCCATATTAATTTAAAAGGCAAATGGATGTATGAATGGGTGTGTGAGTGCTAAATATCCATTGTAATTTTGCTGCTAATTTAATTTGATTTTGTATGTTATAAAATGGATAATTAAAAAAAAAATTTGAAAAAAAAAAGATTTTATATATATAAGTTTAAACTTGAGAGGTAATTTTCAATTCTTCAAACTGTAAAACTGTACAATATTTGTGTTGCCATGGCAACAGATGCCTAGGTATTTAGATTTGCTTTTAAACTTTTTTGTATACTTTACATCTTTAATAATTAGCATAAAGTCTGTTGTAGGTGATAACTGTATTATTTTTCTAAAAATATTCTTTAAAAAAAGTGAAAATTGAAGCATGATTTCTTAACTTCCAGTGGTTTCCATGGCAACACTTAATAAGGGAAAAAAAATAATAGTTTTGTTGGTCAAACATCATTTTCATATATGTAAAAGTTGTTTACTATGAACACTTTTTACAACCAATAAAAGAAAACAGGAGGTTAAAATTTTAAGTTTCCATCTGAAGCTTGATGATTCGTGACATTCTCTCTTAATATTAGTAACAAAAAGGTGAAGATAACAAACAGTGATCAATGTAGAATAAAATCTACAAACAATATAAATTTGTGAACAGGGTATAAAACATGGACCCCCGGAAATTACAGAGGTGGGATCAGGTGCTTAGGAGTAGTAAGCATCCCCTGTTTACCAGTCATACCAATCGAGGGTCATATGTATTAATCAGTCAAATTTATTATGAAAACAAAAGTCTGTGTAATAGTGGTATAGGCGGAGTTAACCCCAGTATTATAGAATGAATGGCAGTGTTTTTGTTTTGTTATGGAAAACTAGAAAGATATATCCGATCAAAAAATAAACCAGGAGATGCTCAATGACACTATACATGTATATCTAAGATTCTGTGAAAGTCTCATTAAATTTTATGCTGTGGTAAAAAGGGGAGTTGCGGATAAAAGATGGGTACCCCAAAGCGTAATGGACGGATGGATAAACATCCCCATCACTATAAATTCCCAACTATTCACCCGGGGGTGGGGGTGGAGGGTGGGGGGTTATAATAAAGAAATTTGACGATGGAAAAGCTGAAGTCATCTTTTGTCATACAATTTAGTTGTTAGTTGGCCCTTATCGTCTAAAGTCAGTAAAATATTCAAACATGACACAAATGTGAGACTCTTTGGTGTTCTTTTTTTCAAAGGATATATGAAAATGTTTCAATAATTTCTTCTTTCCAGCATTCTTGATCCCTCTTATATGAGCATCGTAAATAACAATTGAAAAAGATATAACAAACTTTGGTCTTAGGCTAAATAATCAGAATTGTTATAAAGTTTTTCTCATCCTCACATGTCTTACAGATAAATTCAAAATCAGCTTTCAAAACATAAATAAATAGATGAAAAAGAAGAGAAAACATGTACAGTAATTTATTCTATATTTGTTACAGGCAGTCAATTATATACACCCCTTTCCTATTATGTCTGAAAAAAGAAAGAAAGAAAATAGTCTGTATATCTTTATCTCAGAAACACAGATGCTTAAACCATTGATATAGCACTTGGAATGCACAGAATAATATCACGCAATTACTCTTCAAATTATTCTTTTTTATTAATTCATGATTTATTTTGCATTAGAATGTACTTCATATTGAACATTAGTTATTTATTTATTTCCAATACGTGTAAGAAAAATTGTAGATACACTAAGTGGTACTTGTAAATTACTACAATACATTTTTTAAAAAAATTATAATAATTAATACTTGATTGTCTCAAAAGCGGGAGCAGATGGTAAAACTTTGATTGATCCATACTTAATATTTTTAAATAACACACTGTGCCTGAAGATAACAAATCAAGAGATTTAAACAAAGATTTTAAACGTAAATAAGTATGTGTTCATAAAACGGACCTACATAATCTCCAAAAAAAAATAATACAAACCTTATTCCATTTATTTACGGCCGTCATAAGAAGAGTCGTTGCTGAGAGTCAAGGAGGCAATCAACAAGGGAGCAAAGATCGCTAGCAGAACAACTGCAAAAAAAGATTTATAGAGCGAGAAAAAAAATAAATAAATAAATCGTTTTTTTAGGCCATAATCTTTCAAAAGAATTTTACTATAGATTCATTACTTACAGATGATTATGATGGGGATTATCGAACCAGCGTTGGATCCGCCACCCAAACCGACACCATATCCACCAACAGGTTGTACACCGTATGTAACATAATATGGCTGTTGTGCTGCGTAATATAGCGGTCTTGGTTGATAGTAATATTGTTTATAGGCACCCAAATAGTTGTGATTTAATCCATGCCCATATCCCCCAGCAGAAACACAGGCAAACACTCCCAATAGAATCGATATAGCTAGTGTGACTTTCACTACAATGTCACATAAATGTTCATATATACAAAATCACATGAATGTTCATACAATCTTCTCTTCTTCTTTTTTTTTTTTTTTTTTTTTTAAATCGGATTTTATTTTATCAAATAAACCCTGCCATAAACCCTGCTATAAAACTATGTTAAGTCATAAATGCAGGATACATTTGATTAAATAAAATCTGTCAAAAGGACAATATGCTAATTTCCCAAAATATCTATTAATTTCCCCCACGTGTTTTAATTTTCAAAATACTGCTGTATATATTATAGGGTAATTAAAAAAGGAACTGGTAATTTAAAAAGGAACTTATATTATTTAGAGAATACTGCAATAGCATGTAAACTGTTATAATCAGTTTGAGAATTATTTTGAACTGTTGTTGTGTAGTGTTTAATAGCAATATAAATATATATGCCAGGAAACTTTTCATATTAAAAAAAAATTCAACTTACGATATGTAATGTTTTGGAAAATTTAAAGATTTAAAAATAAGCTTACTTTTGATATTTGAATCAAGGAGGACAAAAATCCAAGATCCTATATGTGTTATCTGAACACAAACAGCTTTTATAAAGATACGAACACCTTGCACTCCCAGAAAGAGCAACCAATTAAAAAACATTACATTTTCTCTGTACACCATAACGATAAGAGGGATATTTTACAGGTACGATGTCTCGATGAAGAGGTTAACCATAATAAATCGCATGTCAATAAAATAAGCAAAAAGGAAGTTCAGCTTCATACAAATGTTATCGGGTAAATAATGATCCAACTATCCTTTCATTAACGCTTGATTTGTTTAGTGAGATATTGCATTGGATTTATATATTGAATTCTGATGAAAGTGTTACTTTTTTATTTTAAAGTTATATTATTTTTTTTTAAGAATGTGGTTGTCATTTGAAATCAATTACTGTACCATTACCACGGAAACCTTTCTCAGATATAAAAGTTAAAGGAATCGAGGAATTAAATTAAAAGAAAAAGAATAAAAACTAGAGCAAAGCTCGTTGCTGGAGCAACAAGCAGGTCTTCCGTCCAATTCTGCGAAGAAAATAAAGGAAATCGACAGAAATGCAAATTAATATGTACAAAAGAGCACTGTTCTGAAGAGCGTTCGACTTATAATAATGTGAGAAGTCTTCAGTTTTTGATATTTGTAAAAAAAAAAAAAAGAAGCCACTGGTAGCTACTTCCGGTTTTGACCGGAAGTGACGTCGATCGATGAAAAATAAAGTCTGACGTCTCTAATGACTTTTACCAATCAAATACGTGCCAATACCTACAAAAATAAGCTTTTTCTAACTATTTCCGGTTTAACCGGAAGTGATGTCAATCAACGAAAAATGAGTTTGGACGCTTTCGATCATTCAAATAACCCATTTAAGTGTCAAAAACTACAAAAATATGCATTTTCTGATTACTTCCGGTTTTACCGGAAGTGACGTCATAAGGCTACTTTTGACATTCTTACCAGCTGCCACTTGTTATTTTGAACAACTTTACTTCAATAATGTATCACAAATTTTCAATAGTTATTGGAATATTGAGAAAAAACTTTCGGCCCCTCTAGATCCCTAATTTTAGGGGCCAGCCCCTATTTCTTGTTATTGGATGAAAGATCTTGTAGTTTTACACAAATTTTGTTCTACATGTTTTAACAAATTATATACAGGTAAAGAGATATTGTAGGAAAGACGTTGAAAATTTTGAAATTTACAATATGCCTTTTTTCGGACCATAGCGAGCGCCGACGTGCGGCATTTCCGGTAAAAATGAAAAGCATTACGCATATCTACAGACATAGATCTATCATACCTGAAAGGTTCATGTTTCTATCTAGAGCCATTCATGAGAAAATTTCCGGACAACCCGACCCTTTAAAAATCTTTAAATCGGCAATATCTCCGGACCGGAAGTGAAGTCATCAAAAAAGAAAAAAACGCATAAGGTTCAAGTAAGGATACATAAGTCCTGAAAGTTTCACGAAAATCTATCGAGCCGTTTTTGAGAAATCGCGTGCACAAAATCGGTAAGAAAAAAAAAAACAATAATAAAAGTGAAAAAGAAACCTAAGAATAACAAGAAGGTCTTCCGTAGAAGACGGAAGACCTTAATTAAAGGACCCCAAATAGAAATGTATTATCATTATAAAGCACATGGCATATTAAATGTATATACTATGCTGTGAAATTAATTGTAGGAAAACAGATCAATTCGAATTTTAAAAAGAGACCAACTGATGTTATTATCCTGCATTTACATTGGTTTTGTGTTGTCATCCATCACAGGTTAAGCAATCTTCTGTATGCAAAGTGGGAGGCCATATCGATATAGCGGGAGTTGAATTCAAAGATAGTATATTTTGTTTATGTTTCTTGAAATGAAGACATTCATGCAAGATGCATGTGCACATAGAAAATGCCAGTTACATGTTTCAAAAGTGGCATCCCTTGCGCATCAAAAGGAGAAAAGAAATCGCATTTTTTCCCTTATGTTTTTTTTCTTTTGCTTGTGTGTTTGTTTTTTATTTCAATAAGATTATACTCTCATTATTCAACACTTCTAGATAGCAACAAATAAATAAATAAATAAAATTACAATAAAAGTAATAGTAATAAATAGAAATGAAAATGGGGATGTAAAATTATAAATTTAAATATCATGCATATTTATTTTAAATTGCATTTTAAAAATAAAAAGATATGCAAGGACCTTAATTCACTGGAATAAATGCGAACATGATGGGTTTTTTTTCCAAAGGCTATTCGGTGGTTGATACGCGATATTACATATGAAATAAGATGCCGTACGTGCATAGAGTCGCATAATCTTGTAAATGAAAACAATTTTTTGTTCCTTAATTACAATATCAAATAAATTATTCAAGGTGTGTGTTACTTCTTACTTTGGCAAGCATTAGATTTACATATACACATTTAAAATTTGTATTTTCATTTTAAAAAATAGTAGTTATAGAAATTTATCACAATATAGTATATTGCATATACTTATTTATTATGCGTATCTATTTAGAATTTGTTTGCCTCGATTATATAGAAATTGAGATTTTTTGAATGAATACCGTTTTTATTTTTCAATCATCTCTTCAGACAGGTTTTCCCTGGAATAAAGCTTTTAAAGTATAAAATATTGATGTGTCTCCTACCATGACATTATTCAGATATTTTAAAACGATTTAACAAAATCAGTATAATAGATTCTTTCTACTAATATTCGATTTTTGACAAGAAAAAACTAAAGGCACATGTCTTTTGTCCGATTTTTCTGCTATTAAACATGTCAGAATCTAATCAACTGCTTGTTACATGAGCAGGTAAAAGTGCAAATAAATGTAAATATGCGAGGAATTAAAATACCGAGATGCAAATGTACTAACAAATTAAAGATTCCTTCATTTTGCTTCAAAATAGTGAAAAGTAAGGAGCTATTAATTCTGTCAAAATATGCAGTCATTGTTACTGTAGAAAATATATTTCCATCCATACTTTAAAGCTCAAATCTTTAAGGAAACAAATTTAAACCACAAAGAAATGAATGCAAGCTTCAAAGCAAGTAAAGATTGGGACTTCTGAAGGTAGAATTAAAATGGTGTAGATAACGCACAATAAAAAAAAAATCTTTGAAACAAATCAAATTTATGAACAGGGCATAAAACATGGACTCCTGGTAATATCAGAGGTAGGATCAGGTGCCTAAGAGGAGTAAGCATCCTTTGTTGACCGGTCACACCCAACGAGGGTCATATAGAATAATTTGTAGTCAAATTTATTTTAAAAACTATTGCCTCAATTTGTATGAAACATGTCAGTCAAAATACGACGCATTGATAGGTTGCATTCACAAACAAGATCATTATAACGACGCGGAATTTGCGAAAAGCCAACTTTAAACGAGGTTTTTGAAAAATCTGTAACATTTACTTATTTCTTAGTAATCTACCACGTTTCGAATCAGTTGGGAGACATAAACGCCATATACAGGTGATAGTGGAATATTACTACATAAATAGGGAAAGTTGACGATGGAAAAGCAGAAGTCATCTCGTTCGTCATACAGTTTTGTTGTTAGTTGGCCATAATCGTATATAGTAAGTAATATCCAAATATGATACAGATGTGACAGATTCTGTCGTATCTTTTATTTTGAGTTCACAGGGATGTATATAACCGAAACAACTTTCCCTTTAGGAAAGCCCTCTTAAGTTGGATAGAATTACATTAAACTTGAAAATTTGTCTATAACTGTTCACATGAGTTATTCGCGGAAACAATCCTTATGAAGAAGAATCTGATGTAAAAATATGAAAATCATTGCTGACCATTTTGTAGTTTGTATTTAGAACAAATACTGGCAACGTTCAGTATACAATTGTATGGAAAAAACATAATTAGTTATTGAAAGGTAACGTAAAAGGTGAAGATAACAAAACAGCGGTCAATCTCATGATCATTAATACAGTAAACAAAACGAAATGTGGACAGGGCAAAAACTCGAACCCATGGAAATGGAGATGGGAACAGATGCATAGGAGGAATATTCATCCTATGTTAACATGTCACACCCGCTGCCATCCTATGTAATGATCAGGTATACGAAGTACTGCATAGTCAATTTCACTATAAAGCAATGACCTAGCAAAGGATATGAAACATGTCATACAAAATTTGACCCAACGATAGGTTGTAGAATGTATGAAAAGCTAACTTTAAAGGGCTTGTTGAAATTCTAGTAACACCAACTTATTTGACAGTAGCTTGCTCTATTTAATAATTTATCGTACTCAGAGCATGTTCCTGCGTTTCGAATCAATTGTGAAACATAAACACTATGTACAGGTGATGTTGGAATATTACTTCATAAAATAAGGGAAGTTGATGATGGAAAAGCTAAAGCCATCCCATTTGTCATAGAGTTTAGTTATTAGATGGTCATTATTGTTTATAGTCAGTAAAACCTCCAATATGAAACACGTGGCAGACTCGAGTTCACTAGAATATATCGACTTGATATATAAATGAAAATAACTATTGTTAATATATCTAAACGACGGGTTGATTGCCACAGCAAAATTTTTCTTCTCATGTAGAATTTTTTTTAAAAATAAATTCAACTTCATAGAAATAAAAAAAAAACAGGTCGGCTAATAAAGAAGCACAATTAATGCCCATCAGACTTTCCAACATATTTTTGGAAGACTTGGTTTCCAAAGACTACATAGATATTGTCAATGAGGAACTCCGGCATCTTTTTAATATCAACTTTAGAGTACTTGTATGTAGAATCAAAATGATTTTTAACAAAGTAATCTTGAAGAGGACCAATCACAAGATACGAAAATTTTCGAGTTCCATTTTTATTCAGGAAGAAGTTGTCTATGATGTCAAAAAGCCTGGGTCTTTAATAGTTTTATAAAGTGTAGAAAAAGTTTTGATGCTATTGATGTTTGAAAAATTTTCAGATTTTAATTTTTTCAAAGTTCTAACGGGCCTCAAACAGTCTGATAATTTTACATATAGAACAGTATTCGGCATATATCCATTACATATAGAATTGT